CACTGCGATGAAGGCGATTATCAACATGAGCAAGCTGTCGGTGTTGGAGATCCAGACGGTCCTCGACAAGTATGCGGAGGTGTCGGGTCTGTCAGAGAGCGAGATCGCGAAGGCTATCTGGGCCGCCATGTCTCTCGAAGTCTACCAGTTCGCGCGGATGGAAAATATATCCGAGAATCTCCCGCCGTCTGAGCTCATGGCGAGCCTGTGGGCGATGCAGGAGTGGGAGAGCCGAAAGGTCACAGCGGCGCCGCCTCAACCGCAGCTGCAGCCGAGCTACAAGGCGCCGTTCTATGGTCAGCGTGCGGCTCAACCGAAGCAGCCTTCCCAGCCGCAGAAACAGCAGACCAGCGTGGTGGCGGCGGTGGCGTTCGCGGAGGCTATGGCGGCCAAGTACAACTTGTCGGCGGAGGAGCTCGAGAGACGTCGTCGTGAGCACCTTTGTTTCCGCTGTGGCTCTGGAACCCATCTCAGGAAGACATGCGGTCAGGCCCCGGCGGTGGCGGCAGTTCAAGGTGAAGCCGCGCAGGGAAAAGCCCAGCCCGACTCCCCCTGAACGCGGTAGGAGTCGGGCGATACGAAGCGTTGACACAGCAGGTGCAAGTCGCGTGCGCGGGTTCTTCTGATACCCGCGATGCAGGTGCAAGCTCTTATTGACACTGGATCGGTCGCCACATTTGTGAGCCGTGCTGTAGCAAATACACTTCGTGCCCCCTCATTTCCAGTTCCAATGATCAAGTTGAGGACAGTGACGAAAGAGGAGATGAAGGTGCGCGAGGGCGTGGCACTGCGAGTTACTTTGGCGGGCCGGCAGTTGTGGGTCCAAGCGATGATCCTGGATGGGCCGGTGGTGCCGCTCCTGTTGGGCATGGATGTGCTGGCGGCGGCAAATCCTGTCATCGATCTGGCGACTCGGACGGTGCGGTTCGAGAGCATGAAGCCGGTTCGTGTCAGAGGCAAGGGCAGTCTGGGCTCGGGCGTCATTGGCGTGGTGCAGCAGGACGAGGCTGCGCCCGCGGTGGTTGCAAAAGCGGCGGACGTGCAGAACGAGGCTAAGCCGGCGGTGGCGCAAGTGGCGCGGGACGAGGCTAAGCCGGCGGTGGCGCAAGAGACGGAGGCTCAGGACGAGACTAAGCCGGCGGCGACGACAGAGGCCAAGCCGGCGGCAGCAGCGGAGGAGGCGAAGCCAGTGGTGACGGGGACCAAGCCAGCGCCGGTGGCGATCCAGCGGGAAGCGTCGGAGGCGAGGTTGCCGTCGTCAGTGGTGGCGTTCCGGCGACGTCGGAAGCGACAGAAACGGCGTATGTTTGTGCGCTTGGTCGCGGCGGCCGATGCGCTGGAGGTGGTTCTGCCCGAGGCGTACGCAGAGTTCGCTGATCGTTTTGAGCCGAGCGGACCCAAGAAGCTGCCCGTGAGCCGACCTGGTTTTGATGCGGTGATCCGGATTGACCCGTCCAAGCAGCTCAGGTGCGACCCGAACCGCAAGTTTGGCCGTGGCAAGGAGGAAGCCCTGAGGAAGTACGTGGATGACGGCCTGAAGACTGGCATGATTGTGGAGTCCGAGTCCGCGTTCTGCTCCCAGCCCATGTTCGTCAAGAAGGGTGATGGCTGGCGCGTCTGTATGGACTCCCGGCGTCTGAATGAGGCGACGATCAGGGATCGGTACCCGTCGCCTGATGCCTTGGCGTTGATTGACAAGCTGAAGGGCGCGAAAATTTTCAGCAAGTTTGATCTCACGAGCGCGTTCTGGCAAGTGAGATTGAGCGCCGACAGTGAGAAATACACGGCGTTCCCGTGCGACGGCAAGCTGTACCAGCACAGGGTCATGTGTTTCGGGTTGGTCAACGCGCCGGCGATGTTCCAGCGTCTGATTAATGAGGTCTTGGGCCCGCTCTCCGCTTTCGCTGGAGGGTACTTTGACGACATTATTGTGTTCCCCAAGACGCCGGAGGAGCACGAGCTCCACGAGAAGCAGATGCTAGCTCGGCTGAGGGAGTTTGACCTGTACGTCTCCTTGAAGAAGTGCGTGTTTGGCACGTCGAGTGTCGACTTCCTGGGGCGGCGGGTCAGCGAAGCCGGAGTGGCGGTGGATCCTCGCAAGGTGCAGGCGGTCCTCAACTGGAAGCCGCCGACTGACGCGACTGGTGTGCGTGAGGTCAACGGCCTCGCGTCCTTCATGAGGCGTCATGTGCCGAACTATGCCGAGCTGGCGCGCCCGATGACGATGCTGACGCGGAAGAATGTCCCATTCGTCTGG